TGTAAATATTATGCAGAAAATTCGGAGTGTGGAAATTAGGAGAAGGTGTGGAGTTAATAAAAGCATTAGTCAGAGGGCAGAAGAGGGGTTGTTGAGGTGGTTTGGTCATTTAGAGAGAATGGATCAAAGTAGAATGACATGGAAAGCATATAAATCTATAGGGGAAGGAAAGAGGGGTAGGGGTCGTCCTCGAAAGGGTTGGAAAGAGAGGGTAAAGGAGGTTTTGTGGGCGAGGGGCTTGGACTTCCAGCAAGCGTGCATGAGCTTGTTAGATAGGAGTGAATGGAGACGAATGATACTTGGGACTCATTACTTAACTTAAAATATTTGTAGTCTTAATCTAGGGTGAGATGAGTAGTATTAATTGTAAGAAATCAAGTGCGGTATGTATGGTAGCCAGCCAGGCCAACCCACCCACACATTCTATTCTATGATATTTAACCCTTTCAGGGTTTCTGACGTAATAGTACGGCTTACGCACCAGGGTTTTTGATGTACTAGTATGGCTTACGCACCACGGTTTTTGACGTACTAGTACGCCTAAATTCTAGCACCCTCAAATCTAGTGAGAGAAAGCTGGTAGGCCTACATATGAAAGAATGGGTCTATGTGGTCAGTGTGAACAGTATAAAAAAAATCCTGCAGCAGAGTGCGTAATGAGAAAAAAAAAACTTTGACAGTGTTTTTGGTTTAAAACAGCAACTTTGCACTGTATTTTCGTATGGTATTTATGGTGGTATTCTAGTTTTCCTGGTCCCATTTTATAGAATGGAAGACATATTACAGAAATTGAGACGATTTTGATTGGTTTTACAATGAAAAGTACCTTGAAATTGAGCTCAAAGTAGCAGAAATCTTCGATTTTTGCCAAAGTTCAAAAGTAAACAAATCATGCTACACGTCCAATACACGCCAACTAGTGAGTCTAATATTCTTTCACAAATGTGCTGATATTATTTATACCATTTCTACACTAATGCAGTAGTCTGCATAACAGTAAATCTTCTATTTTTTTTGTGAGAATAAAAATTCAAAGTGGAAAGCAAAAAAATGTAAGAGGGGCGTGCGAACATGACTAATGAACAGAGGAAATGTTATTTTAGTGCCAGGAATGTCTTTCTTGTTTATTCTGGACCCTATTTGGAAATTAGCATCTTTTGAAATTTATGTGAAATTGGCAAAATTGGATAGTTGAAATCGGTAAATGGGTGATTTCTCGTACTCATTCGATAGAAAAAAATGGAGTTCAGCAAAATAGTTATGATTTTTGTCAACTAGTACACTTGAATTGGCCGAAAATAGGGCTCAAAGTGGGCAAAACCGCCAATGCGTAAGCATGGTCGAGACTGCTAACTTCGTGAGAGCATAATTCCGTAAGTTTTCCATCAAATTTCATACTTTTGGTGTCATTATGATCGGGAAAAGATTCTCTATCTTTTTCATAAGAAAAAATAATTTTTTTTTTTAAAATTTGTCAACCCTGAGAACAAGTCTGGGAGAGGGCCTGTCGACCCTGAAAGGGTTAAGCATCCCAGAGTGATAAAATGCATATACAGTTCACTCATTACTTACCTTAAAATATTTGCAGTCTTAATGTAGGGTCAGACGTGAGTAAACGAGATAAAATGAATAAATGAGAGAGAGAGAGAGAGAGAGAGAATGAGTACATGAGAGAGGACAGGCGCAGTGTTATGTAAACAAACCAGGCGAACATAAGTTTTGTAAACAAACAAAGTGTACACGTCCGGTTTGTGTACAAGTTGTCTCTACATTGATACGGTAGAATAAATAAAGAACAACACTCCCATTCTCATGTAACACCATTTTTAGAAGAAATGACGCTCTGAGTGAAGGTAATAGAAATAAGTCACTCTGTCTGACTTTTCTGGGTTATCCTAGGTTCTCTACACATATGCTGCTATGGATGATAATCCATGTAACTGTATTTGTGTATACCTGAATAAACTTACATACATACAAAAGGAATAATTTTCTACAGTTACCCCCAGTAACACATTTTCTCTGATGTTAGACTAGAGAAAATGTTATTCTTGGTAAAAGTCTGGCTCCCACATCTCATATTTATGTTTGTTTATTCTATTATGGGGTGTATTTATCATCTTGATATGTTATGTATCATGTTTATGATATAATTTTGAAAGAAATATCATGGATGGATTAATGAAAATGTGTATATTAACCCTTTGACTGTTTTGGTCGTATATATACGTCTTCCGAGCCACCATGTTTGACATATATATACTCATACTAGCGGCTTCAAATCAAGCAGGAGAAAGCTGGTAGGCCCACATGTGAGAGAATGGGTATGTGTGGTCCGTGTGCATCATATAAAAAAAATCCTAGAGCATGTAGTGCATAATGAGAAAAAAAAAAACTCCGACTTTTTTTTTTAATTAAAATGCCGACTTTGTGATCTATTTTCGTATAGTACAGTGGACCCCCGCCTTACAATGGCATCGCATTACGTTAAATCCGCCATATGATACATTTTAACGCAAAAATTTTGCCTCGCCTTACGTGATTCGTCCGGGACGCATCCCACGTGTGGCCTCAGCGCCAGTGTTTACAAGCCAGCCAGTGTGGTCGCATCTACGCATACATTCGGTACATTTCACATTATTCCAGTGTTTTTAGTGCTTGTAACTGCAAAATAAGTCACCGTGGATCCCAAGAAAGCTTCTAGTGCCATCCCTGTGGTAAAAAGGGCGAGAATTAATATAGAATTGAAAAAAGAGATTAAGGAAATGTGTGCAAAGTGGGTTGAACTGCAAACCTTTATGGATGAAAATCACCCTGACACAGCTACTGCAAGCCGTATTGGCAACCTGTACAATGACAATGTTATGGCCCATTTTAGGAAAGTCTTAAAGGAATGGGAGGTACAGAGCTCTATGGACAGATTTGTTGTGCGACAGAGGTCCAGTGACTCTCAAGCTGGTCCTAGTGGTATTAAAAGAAGAAGGGAAGTAACCCCAGAAAAGGACTTGCTACCTCAAGTCCTAATGGAAGGGGATTCCCCTTCTAAACAATAACAACTTCCACACTCTCCCCTCCTCCCATCCCATCAATCATCACCAGATCTTCAATAAAGGTAAGTGTCATGTATTCTATTCTTAGTAGAGTAGTAATTGTGCATGTCTTCTTCAGTTTGTGTGTATTAAAATTAATATTTCATGTGGTAAAAATATTTTTTTTCATACTTTGGGGTGTCTTGCACGGATTAATGTGATTTCCATTATTTCTCAGGGGAAAATTAATTCGCCTTACGATAATTTTGGCTTACGATGAGCTCTCAGGAACAGATTAATATCGTAAGGCGAGGGTCCATTGTATTTAAGTTGTATTCTCGTTTTCTTGGTCTCCTTTGATAGAATGGAAAACATATTATAGAAATAGAGGTGATTTTGATTGGTTTTAATATAAAAATAACCTGGAAATGGAGCTCAAAGTAAGGGAAATGTTTGATTTTTGCCAATGTTCAAAAGTAAACAAATGATGTCATTGTCCAATAAATGTCCAACTAGCCATTCTAATATGCAGTCATGAATGGGTTGACATTATTTGTACAATTATTACAATATTGCAGTAGTCTGCATAACAGTAGATCTTCTATTTTTTTGTTTGAATAAAAATTCAAAATAGAAAACAAGAGTAATATCAGAGGGGCCTGGAGACGTGACTGATGAACAAAGAAAATGTTATTTTAGAGCCAGGAATGTCTGCATTGTTCATTCTGGACCTTATTTTGAAATTGTCATATTTTTTAATTTTCGTGAAATTGGGCAAATTGCAAATTTCTGACCACGTTATTGGGTAGTTGAAATCGGTAAATGGGCAGCTTCTTGTACATAATCGATAGAAAAAACAGAGTTCTAAAGAAATAGCTATGAGTTTGGTCGACTGGAACAATGGAATTAGCTGAAAATAGGGCTCAAAGTGGGCGAAATCGCCGATTTGTAAATATCACCAAGGTTGCTAACTTCATGAGAGCGTAATTCTGTCAGTTTTCCATCAAATTTCATTCTTTTGGTGTCATTACAATCGGGAAAAGATTCTCTATCATTTCATAAGAAAAATGTTTTTTTTTTTTTTAAATTTTGCGACAAAGGAGACACCTCAGGATTGGGGGTTGCGACAGTCAAGGGGTTAATGTAATATACGACATTTAATGAGACTTGGTGATGATTATTATTATTATTATTATTATTATTATTATTATTCTAATGTGGTGTCACTTGTGCAAGTCGTCTGCTACCACATCTCATAATTTTTTTTTTTTTAACAAGTCAGCCGTCTCCCACCGAGGTAGGGTGACCCAAAAAGAAAGAAATCCCCAAAAAGAAAATACTTTTATCATCATTCAATACTTTCACCTCACTCACACATAATCACTGTTTTTGCAGAGGTGCTCAGAACACAACAGTTTAAAAGCATATACGTATAAAGATACACAACATATCCCTGTGGGGTGTATTTATCATCTTTATATGTTATGCATTGTGTTTATTATATAATTTTCAAAAAATATCATAGATGGATTAATGAAAATATGTATATTAACATAATATACGACATTTAATGAGACTCGGTGATTATTATTATCATTACTAATATGACGTCTCGAGACATAAGACACTCTCACTGATTTTAATGTGTACCTGCACGCCAGCACAGTACATAAGTTTATTTAGGTACAGGTATACATAAGTATAATTATCAGAGTAGATATAAAATATGAAATAACTTTTAAAAACACTTGAAATTTTGGAGTTTTCAGACATAATGGAGAGATAACAAAAAAAGGCACAATACCGTGACTGGAACGATACACAAATAACCCGCACATAAAAGAGAGAAGCTTACGACGGCGTTTCGGTCCGACTTGGACCGTGTCTTAATTTCATGTTGTTGGTATTATATACCATTCTTGTACTACTACTACTACTACTACTACTACTACCACCACCTCTTCCTGCCTATATATAGCCGTCCTGCTCCACTTCTGGTTAGTGTGACTTTGTCAATGGTCCAAGTCGGACCGAAACGTCATCGTAAGCTTCTCTCTTTTATGTGCGGGTTATTTGTGTATAATGGAGAGACTTAGTGCTTACGGATCTCACATAGAATGTAAACAAACAGGGTGGGGAACGATGACCGTATTAAAAAGTCAGGTGGGGGGGGAGCCATATAGTGTGTTTTGGTCATAATCTGAAATGACCGTATTAACGGAATGCCGTAAAGCGGGGCCCTACTGTACATGAGGCCTGAATAAGTAGTGAAAATAAATAAAAGATTTCAAAAAGGAGAATAAAGTGGTTTTAATTTATAAGACAAAATAAAGTTGGACTGACAGAATACCTGAAAATCAAAGGTTGGGTGTATACATAAATTGCAGCACATTAAAATTATAAAGGAATTTAACTTGCTCACCTGAAAAGCATCAATCGTATTTACAGTAAGGCTCATCCGACCAAAGAATTTTGCAAGTTTTTCTTCTAGATAAATTTTTTGTCGCTGATAAGGTGTTATGACTCCAATTTTTTGATTTCCAACTAATGGTTCCAGCACTTCAATAATAAGGCGGACTAGTGATGCTTCAGCAGGGTTAAATAGCTCACTGTTATGGCCCTTTTGCTCTTGTGATGTCTACAGGAAATGAAAGACATAGTAAGGGACACTCAAACTCTCAAAACAAATACTGTATGTATATCAAATTACACATATAATGAGGAATGAAAAAGAAATAAAAGCTGACCAACTAACCCAGATAAATTTAGAGTATATTTCTGATCATAAATCAACTTTTTAATTAACCCAAAAATGTACCTCAAAGTATACCCCTTAACTTATGGCCAAAATAAACAATACAGAGGCTAAGAAAAGTCATAGTTTTTGACTTGACAATGGTCCAGGAAGGACCGAAACATCATCTTAAGTTTCCTGGCTTAGCATTTAGTTTTGACTGTAATATTTGTGAATAAACTATACCTATTTTTTCTAATTAAAAAAAAAAAACTGGATTAAACATCACAGAACATATAGCATGGCACAGAAGCATATGAACATGGATGTCATCAGGCTCAGATGCTACTGTTTGGCACGTGGATAGAGCTGCCCTTGGGACATATGTACTAAGTGATTTCATAATATTCCATTCTTTTTTGTGCTTCCAACTGCTAAATAAGTCATCATGGGCTCAAAGAAAGCTAGTGCCAGCCCTTTGGTAAAGAAAGTGAGAAACACAATTGAAATAAAGCGATCATTGAAAAATATGAAAGTGGAATGTGTTTCAGAGCTTGCCAGGATGTATGGCAAACACCATTCAACCATCATTTCAATTGTGGCAAAGGGAAAGGAAATCAAGAAGCTGCTGTTGCAAAAGGGGGTAGCTATCCTCACAAAAGAGAGATCACAAATTCTCGAAGAAGTGGAGAGGTTATTGTTGGTGTGGATTAACCAAAAACATTTAGCAGGAGATAGTATTATGCAGTTGATAATTTGTGAAAAGGCAAGGCAGTTGCATGACGATCTAGTAAAGTAAATACCTGCAATGAATGCTGATGTTTGTGATTTTAAGGCCAGCAAAGGCTGGTTTGAGAGATTTAAGAAGCGTAGTGGCATACACAGTGTGGTAAGGCAGTCAGTTCTGACAAATGTGCGGATGAAAAATATGTTCAGGAATTCAAGGACTATGTAAAAGCTGAAGGATTCCAACCCCAACAAGTGCCGAATTGTGATGAAACAGGCCTCTTTTGGAAGAAAATGCCAAAGAGAACCTACATCACACAGGAGGAAACAGCACTGCCAGGACACAAGCCTATGAAAGACAGGCTAGCTCTCATGTTTTGTAGTAATGATAGTGGGGATCACAAAGTAAAGCCTTTACTGGTGTATCACTCTGAAAATCCCAGTGTGTTGAAGAAAAACAGTGTCCCCAAGGCTAATCTGAGTGTGATGTGGAAGGCTAACAGTAAGGCATGGGTCACGAGGGAAATTTTCCTTGATTGGTTCAATGAAGTGTTTGGCCCCAGTATGAAGAAATACCTCCTGTAAAATAAATTGGAACTCATGTGCCTCCTGGTAATGGACAATGCTCCTGCTCATCCTCCAGACTGGGAAGAGTAAATGGTGCAGGGGTTTCGTTTCATCACAGTCAAGTTCTTGCCCTCTAATACCACTCATCTCCTCCAGCCCATGGACCAGCAGGTCATTTCAAACTTCAAAAAACTGTACACCAAAGCAGTGTTTCAAAAGTGCTTTGAAGTGACCTCAGACACTGAACTGACCCTAAGAGAGTTCTGGAAAGATCACTTCAATATCCTCCACTGCATAAACCTTATAGGTAAGGCTCGGAAGGGAGTGACTTCCAGGACTTTGAACTCTGCTTGGAGAAAACTGTGGCCACAATGTGTACAAGAGAGGGATTTTGAAGGGTTTGGGGCTGACCCTGAGAAGCCTATGCCAAATGTGGAAAATATTGTGGCATTGGGAAATTCCACGGGGTTCCGGTTTTTAAAAGAGGAGACAGACAGTACTAAACTACAGATCAACGTCACTGACAAGCATAGTATGAAAAGTTATCGAGAAGATTATCAGAAGAGTAGTGGAGCACCTAGAAAGGAATAACCTCATACATGACAACCAGCACAGCTTCAGGAAAGGGAAATCCTGCATCACAAACCCACTGTAGTTCTACGAAAAGGTAACAGAGAGAGGGATGGGTAGACTGCACCTTCTTGGACCGTAAGGAGAAATTCCACACAGTATCACACAAGAGACTGGTTGAAAAGCTAGAGAAGTAGGCAGGAACAGCAGGGAAAGTACTGCAATGGATTAGGGAATAGGGGAGACTGGGGCTAGTTGGCAACAGGGGCTAGTTGGCAACAGGGGTGAGTTGACACACTTGTAATAATTCAAATATTTACCGCTAGATGGCGTTGTTATTTACATCATAGGATCACCACGTGCTTCCTCACTCACCAATAACCATACCAAGAGGTTGCAGTACTTAACTGGAGTGGGGAAAAATTTTATTTTGATGTAGGTAAGTAAATTATCATTTGCTTATATTGTTTGCTGTAACATGTATGGGGTTACAGATGAGAAATATCCAATTTAGCCATAATTTAACTTAGGGCTGAAGGAGTGTTTACCCATGAAACAGTTTATATTAGGTTTATTAATATATACTAAAACCATTTATTTATGAACACTGGTATGGATGGGGCAAGTTGGCTCAACAAAAATGGGGCAAATTGGCACAGTGTCTGTAGGAAGAAAGCCCCAACTCCTGAAGAATTGAGGCCATTGCATAAAGCTGGTCCCAAGAAGAGAAGTGGAATGAACAGGAGGAAATGCTCCTCTGCCATTTTTGATTGACATGCCAGTGAAAAAGACATTGGAAAAGATATCAAAAGAAGCAAAGAAGAAACAATCAAAGAAATAAAAACGTGTTCATGGTGATGAGGAAAGTTCAGATGAAGAGGACAGTCTCTGTTTGGTATGTATGGGTCCTTTTTCCAAAAGCAAACCACGAGAAGTATGGATACAGTGTAGAATGTGCAAGTTGTGGGCACACGAAGCCTGCACTGATAAAGATTTGTTTTATACATGCCCCAACTGTGACTCAGATGATGATTTAGATTAAGTTCACCTCAGGTGTTAAGTTTTTTTTTTTCAACAATCCGGCCGTATCCCACAAAGGCAGGGTGGCCCAAAAAGAAAAACGAAAGTTTCTCTTTTTAAATTTAGTAATTTATACAAGAGAAGGGGTTACTAGCCCCTTGCCCCCGGCATTTTAGTCGCCTCTTACAACACGCATGGCTTACGGAGGAAGAATTCTGTTCCACTTCCCCATGGAAATAAGAGGAAATAAACAAGAACAAGAACTAGAAAGAAAATAGCAGAAAACCCAGAGGAGTGTGTATATATATGCTTGTACATGTATGTGTAGTGTGACCTAAGTGTAAGTAGAAGTAGCATGACGTACCTGAAATCTTGCATGTTTATGAGACAGAAAAAAGACACCAGCAATCCTACAATCATGTAAAACAATTACAGGATTCCGTTTTACACTCACTTGGCAGGACGGTAGCACCTCCCTGGGTGGCTGCTGTCTACCAACCTACTACGTACAGGTGTTAAGTATTCTGTGCAATTATTATCTGGAAGTGCAATTATTTTCAACTGAATGTATAACACCTAGTCAGCTTTTAATTTTATATTATTAAAAAAGGTTTCGTTCTTTACTAAGAAAAGATTTTTAAGTTTCTATGGAACTGAATATTATTGAAATGAAACATTATGAATAATTAGTATCTAAATTTACTGTTACATATTCCTAATTTACTATTACTATTTGCTGTGCCAATTTACCCCATAGTCTGTGCCAACTTACCCAAACATGGGGCAAGTTGGCACACGTGAAATGTGTTTTTCTAAAGAATACTGTGCTTTATTTTTTTTATTTCATGAAAAGTAAGAGGAAGATTTATATTTTTTCACTGGAAGTATAAAATTACCAAAATCGTTTTTTGTTTTTCTTTCATCACCGAAAATGTAAAAAGTGTGCCAACTAGCCCTGGTCTCCTCTACCTGACAGAAGAGATACGTGTGTTGGTATGTGACAAGGCATCAGAGTGGGTGCATGTGTTGAATGGGGGTTCCACAAGGGTCAGTTCTAGGTCTGTAGCTGTTTCTTGTATATGTGAATGACATGATGGAAGAGAGATTCAGAGATGTCCCAGTTCACAGATGATGTGAAGCTAATGAGGAGTATACAAGTGGACAAGGATCAGGTAAGCCTACAAGTGAACATGGACAGGTTGCAAACCTGGTCCAACAAATCGCTCCTGGAGTTTAACCCCAGCAAGTGCAAAGTTATGAAACTTGGGGAAGGGCAAAGAAGACTGCAAATGGAGCACAGCCTAAGAGGTCAAAGGCTACAAAACTCACTCAAGGAAGAGGATCTTGGCATAAGCATCACCAAGGACATCTGAGGCACACATCAACCAAATAACTGCTGCAGCATATGGGTGCCTGGCAGACCTGAGAACGGTGTCTCGACACCTACGTAAGGAACCATTCATGACACTGTACATCATGTACGTCAGACCCATACTGGAGTATGCGGCACCAGTATGGAACCCACACCTTGTTAAACACATCAAGAAATTAGAGAAAGTGCAAAGGTTTGCAACCAGACTAGTCCTAGAGCTAAGGGGGTATGACCTACGAGGAGAGGTTAAGGAAAATCAGCCTGATGACACTGGAAAACAGGAGGGATAGGGAGGACATGATAATGGCATATAAAATACTGAGTGGAATTGACAGGGTGGATAGGGACAGAATGTTTCAGAGATGGGACACAACAACAACAAGGTAACACAACTAGAAGTTGAAAACTCAGATGAGTTACAGGAATGTTACGAACTATTTCTTCAGCCACAGAGTTGTCAGGAAGTGGAACAATCTAGAAAATGAAGTAGTGGAAGCAGGAATCACACACAGATTTAGATGAGGTACAATAAGGGTCCCAGAGAGCATGCATGCGCACACACACATGCACGCACACACAAATGCACACACACATGCATGCACACACACATGGAAAAGATTATCAGGAGGAGAGTGGTGGGGCACCTAGAAAGGAATGAGCTCATCAACAACAGCCGGCACGGTTTCAGGGATGGGAAATCTTGTGTCACAAACCTACTGGAGTTCTATGACAGGGTAACAGCAGTAAGACAAGAGAGAGAGGGGTGGGTAGATTGCATTTTCTTGGATGTAAGAAGGAGTTTGACACAGTCCCACAAAAGAGATTAGTGCGAAAGCTGGAGGACCAGGCAGGGATAACAGGAAAGGCACTGCAATGGATCAGGGAATACCTGTCAGGAAGACACCAGCGAGTCGTGGTACGTGGCGAGGTGTCAGAGTGGGCACCTGTGACAAACGGGGTTCCACAGGGGTTAGTCCTAGGACCGGTGCTATTCCTGGTATTTGTGAACGACATGATGGAAGGAATAGACTCAGAGGTGTCCCTGTTTCTAAATGATGTGAAGTTGATGAGAAGAATTCAATCGGGATCTAGACAGGCTGCAGGCCTGGCCCAGAAATTGGCTCCTGGAGTTCAATCCCACCAAGTGCAAAGTCACAAAGACTGGGGAAGGGCAAAGAAGATCGCAGACGAAGTACAGTGTAGGGTGCCAGAGACTACAAACCTCACTCAAGGAAAAGGATCTTGAGGTGAGTATAACACTGAGCCTATCTCCTGAGGCGCACATCAATCAAATAACTGCTGCAGCATAAGGCACCTAGCAAACCTAAGAACAGCATTCCAACATCTTAATAAGGAATCATTCAGGACCCTGTACACTGTGTACATTAGACCTATATTGGAGTATGCAGCACCGGTTTGGAACCCACACCTAGCCAAGCATATAAAAAAACTAGAGAAAGTGTAAAGGTTTGCAACAAGACTAGTCCCAGAGCTAAGGGGTATGTTCCACGAGGAGAGGTTAAAGGAAATCGACCTGATGATACTGGAGGGAGAGGGGGATGTGATAACGACATATAAAATTCTGAAAGGAATCAACAAGGTGGACAGAGACATGATGTTCCAGAGTTGGGACGCAGCAACAAGGGGTCACAGTTGAAAATTGAAGACTCGGATGAATGACAGGGATGTTAAGAAGTATTTCTTCAGCCACAGAGTTGTCAGGAAGTGGAATAGTCTGGGAAGTGATGTAGTGGAGGTAGGATCTATACATAGCTTTAAGAAAAGGTATGATAAAGCTTACAGAGCAGGAAGAGTGACCTAGTAGTGAATAGTGAAGAGGTGAGGCCAGGAGCTATGATTCGACCCCTGCAACCACAATTAGATGAGTACACACACACACACACACACAAAAAAAAAAAAAGACTGGTGAAATTGAAAATCCAACGAAGAAAATTCCTATCTAAGATACAACATAATCAATATAATAAGTAATTTTTGGAAAGTAAGATGACCCAGGAACTAATTTCAGACAAAAAAAAATCCTCGGTCTTACCATCTATTCTAGATGTACAAAAACCTTCACTAACCTTCAAATCAAACACTATGTATGGCTTGAGGTCACAGTTCCGCTCATCAATAATGTGTGGACTAGTGAGAAGTCTGTCTGAATAAAAGTGCTGAGCAGGCCAGGCAGCAATCTCTGGATGCATTCGATACTGAACATTTAAAGTATGTACCATATTATCTAACTGCAGCTCTACTATAAAACGATGATATAATCGTTCAAATAATGACTGCTTCAGATTTTTATTTTGTGCCAACTGGGAGAGCACCGTTGCTGGGAGCTGCCGATGGTCACCGACTAGCACCAGTTTATGAACTTTAAGAAGAAGAGGTAGCCATGTTTCCATCTCCGTGCATTGTCCTGCCTCATCAATGATGCAGCAAGTAAAACCATGAGGGGTGTTACTAAAAACATCTGACATAGCTCCAGACAAGCATCCACCAAGAGTTGTCGTTATGACTTCTGCATTGAGAAGAATTTGCTGCTGCCACTTCTGTTGCAACTGATATCTTTCTTGTGCAGATGGCTGTGAATGGAAACTTCTTTCAAAATCAGCTTTAGCACGAGCTAATTCAGTAAGACGATTTTCCAGAGACTTGATGTCCTCCTTGCTCATGTTATCCTTCCTGGCATTTTGTAAACTCTCTGCAGCTTCTTCCACCATGGCTTTCCTTCTGTCCCACTCCTGTTTGGTGGAAAGATTTTTAGGGCTTGAAAGTTCCAATTTAACTTGCTTCTGTACAAATGAATCCAGATGGCACTCCTTGATTTCTGGGTTTATACTTTCTCTGACACCAACCCTCACAACACGCAAACATATGCCAATTTCTTTGAGTTTAAGGAGTCTTAAAGTGAGCTCATTAACAGCAGCATTAGATGGAGCACACAGTAAAATACGACAAAATGGTAACCCTCTCTTGTAAGACATCTTTATAATTTGAGCTATGATAGCTGTAATTGTGCGAGTTTTGCCTGTGCCTGGGGGACCATGGATTAGGCTCAGCTTGGGCACATTGTAACTTAACACACATTTACTACTGACTTCTACAACTGCTTTTCTTTGTACATCATTAAGGGACATCCCATCAACTAAATACTGGCCACATTCACGGCTGCAAGCAAAAGCAGCTTCAGTTGGTTTTAGGAAATCTGAAAAAAGTGGGGAGAGAGGAAGTTTACACAGTCCTTCCCATATGCGAGTACTTGGTCGAATGTATGACACATTACTGATCCATATAATTTGTCCACTCTTAACTATCAAAATATCTTTTTTAGTTACTCGCACTGCCATCATAAGACATATTTCACCATTTGGACAAGCTTGTTCCAACTCTCTTGTCATCAAACGCTTCCGATTCTTTGTAAAATGGTCCACATAACCAAAAATAGTCATCTTTTTAACCCCCTCTTGAATTCTAAGAGATATAAGGGAGCCCTGTCTAGGATGTAATCCTCTGTTGCTCTGATTTTGTGTGATTATTGTTACCATATTGATACCCCAAAATTTAAGTGGAGATTTTCCATCTTCAATAAAAGCTTGATTCACTACATCAATTTGTGTGGGCAGCCAAATGTTAGAAAGTCTGTATTTCAACCAATCCTGATATACATTTTCCCAAACCTCTAAGTACATAAGATTGCTAAATATTTCTTTATAATCATTATAGGAACTGTAAAGTATCAGAGTTGGGTAGTTGGTACTTGTAGCTACTGGTGGTGGAGGTACTGCACCACCTTTACCACTTGCTTCATTTTTTTCTTGCCCAATTCTGTATACATCTAGCCAGTCATAATTCCACCTACATATGTGATAGATGAAATATTCCATGTAGTTTGGTGGAAGGTGATATTTCTGTATCAAAAGTTCTCTGGGTAGAATTTCACGTGCTCTCACTTCTAGTTTTCCAGCCTTATCACTGTCTTTGCGAGGTGATATAAGCAATGCATTAACAAGGTCCTCTGACTTCTGTGGAAAGTGCACTTTTTTCTCTTTTGTGCCAGATTTTGGTATAAACAACCGTAATATGCCTTTCTGAGGCTTTTCAATATCATTAGCATTTCTAACTTCCTCTGATGTCTGTTGAAGCAGGTCTGCATTTTCTTTGTTATTATCTCCAGAAGTAATTATATTTTTGGGTTGCATTCCTAGGGATGAAGTAGTATTAGAGGTACTTACCCTAGGTTTTGCTAAGACAACCCCACTGCCACTATTCATGTGGGTTTCAGAAGCATCACAAGCTTGAGACTTCAGATTTTTAGAATCTTCCTTTTCAGTATTTCTAGGGATCTTGTAATTTACTTTTCTGGGTTTTGGTAAAGGTGCTGCAGATGAGAATATATCAATATCGATCAATCTCTCGGAACGTGTCTTTTTTGTGACTTTTGCTGCTACCTTAGGTCGAGGTTTCTCTTTTTTGGAACTATCATCTTGCACATTTTTTCTCTGAACAGAAATATTCTCACCAGCACGTGGCTTATCAGTTACTAAGTGTGATTTTCTGTGATAATTATGCCTTCTATCATTAGCTTTAGCACTCTGGTCTTCCTTTATTTTAGGAATAAGATGATGCTTTTCTCTAGGCTTGTGTTCCAGTGTTGCTTTATATGACTCAAGATTAAATTTTGATGTTAAATTATCTCTTAGGTGCGAACGATTCTTAGATTTCTTTTTCTGAGGACCCACAATTTTTTGCCAAGCTGGAACTGTAATAGTTTGCACAGTTAATTTCTCAGATTTTTTACTTGTTGAAATCCATTCCTCTTTCTTACTGTCATTTTTATTGCTTTTAGATGCACTCTCTACATTATCTATGGTACTTTCAGGTGACTGTACTCTGGAAGTCTCTTGAGAAGTGCTTCTTCTTCTTCGCTGTGGTGGCAGCTTGGGGTCTGTCAACTGAGATGTTCGTTTCTCTTTATTTTTTAATTTTTCAATAATGGCCTCAAGGTTTTTTGAGCTGTCTGAAGATCTCTGATCACTTTTGTATGTGTCATCTACCTTATCAGCAGCTATTTCATCTAATATTTCTTGTGAAAGCACTGGCCACCAATCTTCATCTTCAACACTGTTTATTCCACTGGGGCCTGGCAGGGAATCAAGAGAACTTGAGTCTGCAGATTTAGATCCTTTACTGTCAGTATCTTTATCACTGTCATCATCATCAAAAAAGGACTGAGACAGAACAGGAAACCAATGGTCATCATTTAATGCCTTGCCTTCCTCTGGGGCATCATTCTTTGATGTGTTGGTGACATCTTGGTTTAGTTCTTGTTCATCATCTCTAAACAGTTCTTCAATATCTAAGTCAGGGCTAGAAGGCAAAGGACCAAAGGAGACATCTTGTGATGGCATCTCATCCTCATCACTTGAAACCCATATAGTTTCATCTACCTGTGAATACATGCAAATGATATCATCCTCGTCGTCTCCATCCACCGTCTTATCTTGTACCTGCGTAGGATTGTCATTAAATTCTTTCTTAATGGATATTCCATTATTCTCACTGTCTTCAATTTTCTCTTTCTTTATTTTAATTTCCTCCACATTTGGTTCTTCAGTTTTTTCTGTTTTAACTGTAACCATTGGAGGTAGAGAAGATTTGGTTAGGATATTACGAGAGCCCACATCAGAAATATCTGTTTCTTTATTAAGTCTTATGTCTTTTGAATGGCACAATTTACTATTATTGTTTCTTGTGAAAGTCTCTGATGTACTAAAAGATGTGCTAGTATGTCTTCCTGTAACACTTGATTCATCTTTATTATAACCCTTATCATGAAGAGCAGTGCCGTCTTCAGTACCTGTAGACAATGGACCTTTCTTATTCATACTGTCTTTCTGTCGAGACAATGGCTGATTTTCACACGTGCCAGAAAACTGATCCTTTTTGTCTCTTTGGAGGCGACTGTAATTTTTTTGAGATTCAAGCTGCTCTTCAGGAACATCTGTCTTAATATCTCTAAGGTTTTCTCCTTTGTGCTTTCTCTGATTTTCTCTTGCATTTCTAGGGTAACTTGCAATTTTGTTCTCCGATTCTCGAGATTCTGAGAAAAGTGACAGAGAATGGGACATCTCCTTACTGACACAGGAAATGTTTACATCAGGCAAATCATCATCTAGTGTAATTCGAGAATCCTTAAACAGTTTATTCATACCACCTTCTGAATTTTTTTTATTAATTTGAGGCACAGCAGATTTCAGTGGCATATTTTTGTGTTCACTTGGTATGACTACTTTATCTTTGCTCGCACCTACTATAGATGGTGGTAATCTTTCCACAGACACACTGCATGTTTTGTATTTCCAGTCATTTAGAGTGGCTTTTATGCCAATACGTTTCACTGCTAAAGATTTAGTTTCAATTCCTCTAGGTTCAACATTCTTATCTGGCTTATCTGAAGATTCTTCAGTGGAATCACTATCAGAGTTGATAATTATGGCTCTGCATCTTTTAGTTCTTCGGCGCTGCATTTGTAGTTCCATTTCACTGCTCTCTAAATCATTAGAGGAATCACTATTAGAATTAATTATCTTACCTTTGGATCTTTTAATTTTGTGACACTGCATCTGAAATTCAGCTTCACTTCTTTCTAAATCCTTAGATGAATCACTATCAGAATCAATGATGGTTCTTTTGGACTTTTTAGTTTTGCCATGATGCATTGGTAATTCATTCTTGCTACTCTCTAAAGCCTTAAATGAATCACAATCAGAATCAATTTGTATAGTCTCACTACTCTTGGGTTTTCTGTGGTCTAGCTGTAGCTCAGTTTGATGGCTGTTTGCAATATTTTCTTCCACATTATTCAACAACCTGGGTGACTCACTTAACTTAACTTTCTTTACATTGTTTATATGATTTTCAGCACTATCACTTATTTCTTCACTTGATTTCTCGGTAGTTTTTCTTTTTCTTTTTACTGACAAATCTTCCATTGCTGCTGAAGTGTCTATTATTTCAGAGATAACACTTATATCCTCATCTGCTATTCTGCATTTTATGTGCTCACTGTCTTTATCACAGTTCATATTTTTTACTTCATTCACACACTCGGTTACTGTCATAGATTCTGGCTCAGGTTCAGTGAGGTCAATACTTATGGGTAAATCTGAGTTATCCATGTCAATTGAAATGTGGTCATCTTTGTGTGTTGGGGTGCCTCCTATGTTTTCCAGAGTAGATCTGTTTGCCAGTGAATCATTTTTAGTGCCAATGGAAGAACATTCAATTCCTGAATTATCACCTTTAGTGTAAAAGACTGTGGTTGTGCTTTTATCAGGAGAGACCCTTGGCTCTACAGTTGAATTATGCTCTTCAAAAGCTTCACTGGACACTTTATCAATCTTAGATTCCAAAGTTTGTTGTGACTGTCTTGCTCCAAAATTTTTATTTGGTTGTACATTCACAGATGTTTCTGAAACTTCATGCAAAGATAAAGCATTTCCAGGATGTTTTGTAAGTTGATGTATTGATGGAATTGTGGAAGAACCATGTGAAGAATCAGACTCGATCAATAATTCCTTTGAACTCGGAACTTGCATAGGAGCTACCAACACAGAAGACTCTGTCTGCTGGGCATCCTGGGTCTGCTGACCATGTACCTGCAATTTTGAAGACCTAGGCACAAGAGATTTTGGTTCACTATCAACACCTCTGTAAGCAGAACTTACAATTTGCATATTTGATGACTGATTGCATGATTCAATTTCTAGATTTAAAGAAAATGATGTTGATTCAGGGGAAAATGTAGGATGCATGACTGCCTCGCACACTGCTGATACTGACTTTCGTGTCTCCTGTGCTTGGGATGATACAATTGTATTTTGACTATATCTCTGCCAAGATTTAGAAGATTCTGGAATATGACTCATCCCACTTTTAGAATTAAGCTTACTGAATACTTCTTTATACTGAGAACCTGAAGCACTGTCCATTTGCCTTAAATCTATTTGATGAAATATTTCAGAAGCATTTTTAGTGAGTGTTCCTGAGGCATGTACGTTATCTAGTCTACACTGAGAGTGTTGGTGTGGCCCACTAGCAGGATAATTCCACTGTTGTGGGTTATATCTTGAAACAGCTGCATCGTGTTCTAGACTGTGACTCTGAACTTCTGACTGAATTTGGAGATCTGTTTGTACTTTTGAAGGTAATGCTACCATTTGATTTGGGTAGACAGTATTAAGTGCAGAATTTGATCTATTAACATGTAATACATGAGATCTTTCATGATATTTATTTTGCAAGTGTAATTCTGATAAAGGTTCTTGAATCCTATTTTCTAACTGGGACACACATTGAGTCAATGGTTTACTTTGTGGTGCCTGTCGCAATGAAGGCATTGTGGGACCATGTGGTAATGAAGGAAAAGGTCGAGTTTCCTGATTCTGCAACACAGGATATGAGGCACTACCAGATGTGAAACCTGAGCAAGATGTCAAAGGATCTAAGACATCAGATCCTTGCTTGGATGATCCAGGTTGATCAAGTCTATTTCCACTGTATTCATTTGTAAATTGGGTCCTAATGTGGTTGACAGGAGCATTCTTGTGAGCCATTGCTTGAATGCCTGAAGAATTGTTTAACAAAGACTGCTCATTGTTTGAAACTTCAGCATACAATACTGTATGCTCTAGTTTCTCATTCTGCAATAGCAAATGATACATCTGTTATTTTTTTTTTTACAAAGTAACTAGTAAACATATTTAACAAATTAATGGCCACCAAGGATTAAAGCAATAGGTATAAACAGTGGTCCTTTTGTTACAATATTAATCCATTCTACATGATGTATCATACCTCAAGACTAGCATAACTCAAACCCCCAAATGCATGGTTTTATGGCAATTTATTCCATAAAGACCCCAGAAGTTCAACTTTTACAGTACCTTGGACTTGTATGCTCACAGATATAACTAGCAGGCATTGTGCCTCCCTTCATCTGCTTCTCTCTTATCCACAATAACAACAGTTTTTTCATCTCTATGATAATTTCTCTGCCTTTTTTTCCCCTACCTAAGATTTGACAGCACTATAATATTAGAGATGGTTAATTGTGAAAAGCCATATTATGTATTAACCCTTTGACTGTCGCGGCCGTATATATACGTTTGCGAGGTACCGTGTTTGACGTATATATACTCATAAATTCTAGCGGCTTCAAATCAGGCAGGAGAAAGCTAGTAGGCCCACATGTGAGAGAATGGGTCTGTGTGGTCAGTGTGCACCACATAAAAAAAATCCTGGAGCACGCAGTGAATAATGAGAAAAAAAAAACTCCGACCGTTTTTTTTAATTAAAATGCCGACTTTGTGGTCTATTTTCGTATAGTATTTGTGGTTGTATTCTCGTTTTCTTGGTCTCATTTGATAGAATGGAAACTATATTATAGAAATGGAGGTGATTTTGATTAATTTTACTATAAAAAGAACCTGGAAATGGAGCACAAAGTACAGGAAATGTTTGATTTTTGCCGATGTTCAAAAGTAAACAAATGATGTCATTGTCCAATAAATGTCCAAATAGCCATTCTAATACGCAGTCATGAATGGGTTGATGTAATTTTTACAATTATTACAGTATTGCAGTAGTCTGCATAACAGTAAATCTTCTATTTTTTGTTTGAATAAAATTTCAAAATAAAAAGCAAGAGTAATATCACAGGGACCTGGAGACATGACTGATGAACAAAGAAAATGTTATTTTAGAGCCAGGAATGTCTGCTTTGTTCATTCTGGACCTTATTTTGAAATTGTCGTATTTTTTAATTTTCGTGAAATTGGCCAAATTGCAAATTTCTGACCATGTTATTGGGTAGTTGAAATCGGTAAATGGGCAGTTTCTTGTACTCAATCGTTAGAAAAAATAGAGTTCTGAAGAAATAGTTATGAGTTTGGTTGACTGGAATAACGGAATTAGCCAAAAATAGGGCTCAAAGTGGGCGAAATTGCCGATTTTTAAATATCGCCGAAGTCGCTAACTTCGCGAGAGCGTAATTCCGTCAGTTTTCCATCAAATTTCGTTTTTTTGGTGTCTTTACAATCGGGAAAAGATTCTCTATCATTTCATAAGAAAAAATAATTTTTTTTTTTTTTAAATTTTGCGACACCAGGAGACACCTCAGGATTTGGGGTTGCGACAGTCAAGGGGTTAATGTACTAATTCTAGCTCCTGCATCATTTTTTTTTTCACAATTCCTTATTTGATATTCAGAGAAATTATCTACTTACTGTGCATTTTAGAGCCATGACGACTTGATAACAAAAAGAAGGTGCAATTAAATCAAAAGTGCATATCGTATCTCAAATTTTTCATTACAATGCAAAACTAAATTCCTTTACGAGGGTAAATCGTAACCCCAGCCCATCATAACTCAAGGGACCACTGTATATTCTAGTTAAAGGCCTTTTATTTTTACAAGTTTAACATTTGAAAAGTTACCAAATAGTGTTCTCAATTGTAAAAAAAATTATATAATAAAAATAGTGGCTGGCCAGCAACAGATGGTGGTATTTTGTTAATCTGAAGAAATGGAAAACATTTCTACAACAGATGGAACTCACAGATGAATCAGGATCATCTTGACAGAGCTTTAGAAAGACGAAGTTTTTATTTGACAAATTATCGTTTTTGGCATGTACAAGGGGAACACCCAAGCCTATCCTGGATCCCCTTCGAAGCTCTGCAAAGTTATTGACATCTTGAAGCACAAGATCTTCAACGTATGTGAAGTTGGTGTCCTGAAAATAATACCAGAATAATTCTTTCATTCCTACCAATTGTAGTTTATCACAAAATGCAATAAATGCCACTCCCCACCTCTTCCAAAAACTAATGAGATCAATTACATTTTTCTGCCAATTCCTTCTCTGTTAAATAAATTAATCTTTCTTATCACTTGTTAGGTGGTATTGCTCAAATGATTCTAAACAGTGGTGGTGTTTTGTTCATCAGGAAACAGAACAAGAGTATTTCTGAAATATACAAACTATGTTGCTTGCTGTTAGGTACTTGCACACTATGCTTGCAGAATAACAGCCTTACCTACCATCTAACGAGCAAGAGATTGTAATAAATTCCTATGATGGTTAGGTTGTAATTTTTTAATGGAACATTGCTCCCATCAGAAAGAGGTTCCCAAACTTGCATCATATTAGTGAAACAAAGACTACTGATGTAGTTTTTTCTTACAAAAATGTAGACTACAGAGTGGAGAAAAACCCCAAAAGTTGCCTGGATAACCAACCCACAATCTAACTACTGTATTATTTATGTCAGAAAAAATCTTGCTTCATTTACTTATGCTAAAGTAAATGCAGGCAACTTCTTGATTAACATCATTAATATTTATGCTTAAGCTAATCCATTTTAACCAGATGCTCTACCTGATCCCATTAATAGTGAACCTACCATTAATCTTGTAGATTATAATGCCAGATGCAAGAATATTCTGGGATCAATGACAAACATCAATGGAACTAAATTCCTAAATGAATACAAGAATGCTAGAATAGAGAGTACTATTGAGCCCACTCGTATATACTGTGGAATATTAGATCTGCTCCTAGAATTTAATGTACTATACACAATGTCTGACCCTGTAATAAGTGGTGATCACTTTCCAAGTCTCACATCCATTAATTTTGAGCACATAACCAGAAATCAAGGAGCAACTGTAAATACAAATGTAAAAATGTATTCTTAACAAAGATCACTGAAAAAACTTTATTAATTATATGGATCAATAGTATAAGAGTTACAAGCACACTGGCACATAAAGATTTTATGATGATCTAGTTGCTACTATAGAGAATTTGCTCACAAATCAAGGGAATAAAACGAAAGGGCACAAATCTTTTTATTTAAAATGTTAACACATACCATCAGAGTACTATAATGACCAACAACTACACAATTTAACCCTTAAACGGTCCAAACGTATATATACGTTCACGTGCATAGCACCCCAAACGTATATATACGTTCACGTTCGTAGCACCCCAAACGTATATATGTTTTATTTTTCCTGCCTCCAAATTTGGCACGATTGGCCTGAGATGCCTGGTCAGCATGGAATTGGTCTTAACACTTGGTGTACACAGTATTAAAAAATCTGGGACCACTTAGTACCTTGTGGGAGCACCAGTTAAATTGAGCACCAGCTAGAGCAAACAGTGCGGCAAACGCAAAGGATTCACTGATGTAATGTCATATTAACACTTCTCTTTTAAGAGGAAAGTGATGTTAACCCCAAGTTTAGGGTCTGTCGATCTCTGTCTATCTTTGTCTATCTCTGTCTGTCTATCTCTGTCTATCTGTCTCTGTGTCTATCTCTATCTGTCTCTGTCTATCTGTATCTGTCTGTCTCTATCTGCATCTGTCTCTATCTGTATCTGTCTCTGGCTTTGTCTGTCTCTGTCTATCTCTTTCAATCTGTCTTTATCTATCTCTGTCTCATAGGTACACATAAATGCAAGTATATGTAGTATAAATTACCTAGGATAACCCAAACATACAGACAAAGTGCTATACTCTGCTTGAAGATGTGAGTAAAGGTGATGATGCAGTCTTGTGGCTCTCTCTGAGACAGAGAGCTAGACAGATAGACAAGGAGCTTGACAGACAGACAAATAGACAGAAATGTTTGTGTACCAGCAAAAACAAAGCGAGGGGGATGGTCATCTAATCTTTTATTATCAGCTGCACCCTCCCCCACCCTCGTTTACGCTCATCAAACGTCAGCTCTTATCAGATGTTATCTCCCCTTATCATGTCACTGTCAGGGGTGGACTTTGTTTTTCATGCTTCAAGGGAACATATTACAGTGGGCCCCCGCCTAATGTTGGCATCACATAACGTTAAATCCGCCTAGCAATACATTTTATCGCTAAAATTTTGCCTCGCATAGCGCTAAAAAACTCGCTCAACGCGATTCGTCCGAGACGCGTCTATGTGCAGCCTGAGCCAGCCTCACATGTTCCGCCAGTGGCATTGTTTGCAAGCCAGCCTCCACGGTAACATCCAAGCATACAATCGGAACATTTTGTATTATTACAGCATTTTTAGTGATTTCCCCTGCAAAATAAGTCCCAGGGCCCCCCAAAAACTTCAAACCCAAACCCCAAACAGGAATAAGGGGGGAGAATTAATGGAAAGAAAAAGAGATCACTGCAAAGATGAAAGGGGAGTACTGCCCTCCGAGTTTGGCCAGGTTGTACACAAAACAGTGAAGCCCCCCAGGTAGTAATTTACGATTTCCCCTGGGGAACTAGTAAAAAAAAAGAACGAGATAATTTGAAAAGCCGGGGAACCTTGGGTGATAAAGACGGTAATAGGTTTAGTAAAAAAAAGAAATGAGCGGGAAAAGGGTAAAGAGAAAGGAAGTCTTTCAATTTTTAAATTAAAAAAAATTGCCGTAGTCTAGGAATAAGAGGCCCGATTGAGATTAAGTTGCTAGTGGGGAACTTTGGGAGTATTTCCCCTTAAAAACTGAGCCGGGTTTTTAATTCAAAAAGCGGGACATGCCTGCGGAATGTCATTTTCAGGGTTTTAAATTGTTCCACAGAAATAGAAGTTTTGGGGGGAGGGGGGGTGGGGTGGCTTTGGGTACGCCCAAATCGCTTAAAACTGTTGCAAAAAAAAACGGGTTTTAAAAAGTCGAAAAAACCCCTCCCAGAGTCTGTTGGATAGAATTTTCAGAGGGAAAATAAAAAAACTGTTTTTGGGAAGTGATAAACCCCCCGTCCCCCTAACTTAGATAGGGCCCAAGGGAAACTACTATGGGAAAAATTTGTTAAGGCCCCCAAGGCACGTAATGTAAAATTTTCCTAGGGGGAATTTTAACTTTGGGCCCATTTTGTTTGGGAAAATTTCTTAAATTTGGGAATTTAAAAACGTACGACTTCTTAGAAGTATTTCGGGATTGTTTTTTGAAGCATTTGTGACAAAAACCTACAAGGGGAAAATAACCTCCTTCCCTTATTTTATGGAAAACCAATAAATCCCTTGTTAAAATTTAAAAGAAATTTCAGAGGAACGGGTGCAAGCGACCAAAAAATCAATTACATTTAGTATTAAAATGGAAGTACGATATTTGCAAATAACTCAAAACCAGCCCCAATTTTTCGCTTAGCAGATTACGATGGGCTTAAAGACACTTATCACTGTTTGACTGGGGAAAAGAAGGAGCTAAACAATAAAGACATTTTCTGAACACTTTAAAATGCTGCTCAAAGAGCGTTTTAAAACCCATATAAAAAATTAGATCAAATAGAAAAGACCCAAAATGGGTGAATAATTTGGGTCAAATACTACTAGGGCATAAGAAAGGAATTTATAAGGGGTTCAAAAGAGGTGAGGGTCCTCTTAAAGAATCGTAAATTGACATTAAAAAGGGACATTAAAAAGGGATTAAAAAAGCTAAAAGGGACCAAGAAATTAAAGTTTTCTAGGATTCTAAAACTAACCCAAAAAAATTTTTTTTCCCGGTCATAGAACAAAAATTAAAAGATAAGATAGGTCCCCCCCAAAAATAACTATGGGCACCTTACGACAATGAGAAGAAAGGGGGCTTGATTTTAAATAATTTTTTTTCTCTCAGTTTTTTTTCACAGGAAAAACACTAACAAAAATTCCCCGTAATTAATTTTTTTAAATGGGCTAGAAGAAAAATAAAATTTTGTAACATCAAAAGTCACTAGTGAGATGGGTTTGAGGCAGAAAGAAAAGACCTGAAGCAAAATAAATCGCCGGGTTCCCGATGAGGTTTTTTCAAGGGTTCTTAAGGAATGCAAAATGGAACCTGTGAACCATTAACTAATATTTTTAATTTTTTCTCTTCAAAAAAGGTGTATTCTGATTTTGTTGGGAAAGGGTGGCTAAAAGTAACCCAAATTTTTTAAAAAAGGGGGCAAGTTTACCCCCCAAATTAACCCCCCAATAAGCCTGACCCTTTAATTTTAGGCAAATTACTAAGGCAATTAAAAGCTGAGTTTAAAAAGAAGCCATCTCGATAACTAACTTGATTAATGATACTCAGCATGGGTTCACAAGAGGGCCCGGGCTTTTCTAACAAAATTTTTTAACTTTTTTTTTCAGTAAAGCTTTTTTTAGGGTGTTGACCACAATAAAGAATTTTTATATTATTTTTCTTAAAATTTTAGTAAGGCCTTTTTTATAGATTTCCCCCACCATAGACTGGGTTTAAAAAAAATGGCAGCCCATTGGCCCTTGGGGGGAAAAATGCTCCCCTGGATCGAGTCAAAAGGCTCACTGACAGGAAAACAGAGAGTGTCCATAAAAGGGGGTTAAATCCGAGTGGGGATCTGTAACAAGTGGCTTCCACAGGGGTCAGCCCTTTGGGGGCCCTTTTTTTTTATAATATAAATAATGTTTATGATGAGGGAATTTCTATTGATAAAAGAGCAAATTCCCCCCAGACACAAAATAGGTAGGATAAATTTATTTAAACTAGATGTTAGGGAACTCAGGAGGGCCCTTTAAAAAAACTCTATTCTTGGGCCCAAAAATGGCGATCAGTTCAATGTAGAAAAAGTCAAGGGTTTTTGAAGCTTGGGAAATGCCATAACCCTAGTACTTATAAATTAAATATTTTAGAAAATTTTCCATACAAATTTCGAAAAGGACTTTTTGGGGGGTTTTGGGGAGCAAAACCTTAAAACCCAAACAGCAAAGCCTAACGTAAAGTAAAAACAAATAATTACTTTGGGGTTTATATCAA